TTCAATAGGATTAAGTATGTAGAATATGAAGAAGGAAAAAGGTGATGCAATCGTATTTTGTCCCATGCCTTTAAAAACGGCATTTGTTTTTGTTCTTTATAATGTCTTTTGCATTTATCTATACTTTTGACATTAATTCGTTTCCATTAGAGCTCCAATCACAACAGTTTGTATCTATGTGTCTTGCAGCTGCTCTCTTTTATCTGTCCAGCTGTCGTTCTGTCAACTTTCCTATTTTTCACTCTGCTGGAGGGTCTGCTGGCTGACAGATGTCAATTTGCAATAACTAAAGCATGTAACTAACAGATAAAATTGAGCTGGTAATAGATTGTAAGTTCATCCAATGGCTGAATGGTCAATGTATTAAAAATGTTCACTTTTTAAATTTAATTTCAAGTTATTTTTTCATGCTGTAGAATAAACAGAAGATATCCATACTTTCTGAAAGAGAAAAGCACTCTAGTCTCCTGGTTTCATGGAGTCAGTTAATCACCATTGTTCTAACATATATTTGTACACATCTGGGTTGTCTGTGCATTGGAAAAAAGATACACTACTAAAGATATTATATTGAGAACTTAAACTTGGAAAATTTAATTTAATTTAATTTATCGAATTTCTATGCCGCCCAACTCCCAAGGGACTCTGAACGACTTACAGCAAAAAATAATACAACAAAGAATATAGGAAAATTATTAAAAAACATTTTAAAAACATTTTAAAAACATTAAAAGCCCATGCACACCATTCATGGCCGGATCTCGCAAGATTGCAACAGCAGTAATGCAAAATTAGCAGCATGTATTTGGATAGATATTTTATTAAATTAATTCATAATTTAACCATATATAAGTATTTAGAATATGGTTGTAAGGGGAAAAAGAATTGACTAAAGAACTGAAATCAGAAACACACAAAATGTTAAATCTTTATAAAGAACAACAAAGTGGAAATTCGAAACTAATATTATCTATTATGAGTTTACCTTTTGGGGGGCATATTCCACAACAACAAACAGGAGAATCTGACACAGCTCAGAGATTCAAATCCTTTCTCATGGTTTTAAAGTAATCTAAATATTCAAATTAATTTAAGTACTCTGTTTTTATGGTTAATTGTTCATCAACAATATATTGAGTATTAACTGTATAATATTGACAATTCCTTTGTATGCCTATTGATATTATATTTCCATATTTTTATTTTTTACTTTCTTTTTATTGGTCTTTTGCTCTTTTTTCTTCTTTTTTAAAAGGACAGATAAATAATTTTTAAAAGATACTTGCCATTAAGTATCATCCTTATATCCTTATCCTTATCAGTATCCTTATATACTGATTATCCCTGTACTGATAGGGATTGTTTCTCCCAGAACCATCATATAAAAATAAGAAACAAGATTGTCCAACCGAAAATTGTGTGCCCGTAACACAAAGCTCTGTGGCGTTTAGTTTTATGAGTGGTGATATAAAAATCTAGTAAGAAGTCCAACAAGATAAAGACAGTTGGAATTATATTGCATCACAGGTGATCCATAAGAAAGACCAATGTGCTTTTCTTAACATATCCAGACATGAAAGCTGACTGGATAGATATTTCATTTCCTTCAGGGCTTCTTATAATTGTAGACCCACTATCTTTTCATCTTAAAAAAGAAGATTTGAGACTAGATAGTAGTTATCCAGTATCAGTGTCCTAATAAAAAATAAATTTTTGGAGTCTGTTTACTGGAAGAATAGGAGCAGCAACTTAGCTATGGCTGCCTTCCAGTCACATTAAGTTTCTCAATTTGAAAAAAAACCTTAACTACTTATTTCATTATTGCATATGCTGTTTCCCTTTAATTGCTTGTCTTTATAGGAATTAAGGCCTCAAGATGATAAACATTGCGTAGAAATAGTCATTGTTGCATTGTGTAAATGATAATTAACAAATCCAAGTAGATTTATATTTTATTTTACACCATAAACCTCAAAGAAGTGAGCATTACATTACTACAAAAATATGAATACATGAAATATTATAAAATAATAAATAATTTTATAATTTTTAAACTATTACAACACAAATTTCTCAATTCTTTTACAAATGAAAAATTACAACTTTTAAAAATATAGATGCATAGAGGTAGTAGGGATGGAGGGAAATCTTGGGCACCATCAGTCACTGACTACAGATTAACTCTTGCCATGATATTTATAAACAAACATCTCTGTCATAATATTTTTGAACAAATATACAAATTAAATTTTCTACTTTGTGGTAAGAGGCACACAAAACTTTCTTTGCATATGTTAAACAAAAAAGCGATTCAAAAGAGAAATACACAGAATGTAAAATAAATGAAACTTATCAGAGGTGGGTTTCAGCAGGTTCTGACCAGTTCTGGAGAACCAGTAGTGGAAATTTTGAGTAGTTCAGAGAACCGGTAGTAAAAATTCTGACTGGCCCCAACTCCATCTATTCCCTGCCTCCTAAGTCCCAGCTGATTGGGAGGAAATGGGGATTTTGCAGTAACCTTTCCCTGGATTGGGGAGGGAATGGAGATTTTACAGTATCCTTTCCCTGCTATGCCCACCAAACCATGCCCACCAAGCCATGCCCCGCCCACAGAACCGGTAGTAAAAAAAATTGAAACCCACCACTCTAGCTTATATTATAATGGATAAAAAAGAAACATTGCATATCTCTCTCGCTCTCGCTCTCTGTAAGTATGCAATATCCAGGAACTTTTTCTCAAAACTAAAATGAGACAGACACTCAGTGCATGGTTGAAAGCCAGTTCCAAAGTCACTTGCAAAAAGTTGGGTAAAGAAACTAATCTTTTCCTCAGTCCTATTACAGGCAGAACTGAACACTGAACCATAACTGAGATAAGGACTAATTGGAACCACAAGATGGTTTAGTGGAAAGATTTTCTTGGTTAAAGTGCCACTAGCTTGTTGAGTAAGAACCTAGAGTCCAGGAGGTGTTCAAATGTAATCCTGTCCAAAATTGCCAAGACTCTCCATTCTTAACTGCCTACCAGAGACTCATGAAATCCTCAAGTGCCCTCAGGAAGCTAAGTGAATCCAGTAGGTCCTTGGTTTTTATGAAGATCCTTTGGGAATGAAGCTTTAGAACAAATACTTAGTGTGCTGATGGAGAAAGACAAAGAATGAGTCCAACTAAACACACATACAAGCTCATATTAGGGTCTAATCTTTGGTCATTAAGTTGGCAAAATGTGATTATTTTTATGCCTCTATTCATCTGCAAAATGCCATCCAATGGCCCTTTCTAAGACAACCTGGTCTCTTATGGGCTCTGAGGAATAGACAGAACATTCAAAGCACTGCTGTGAAGTTTTGGCTGATATAAAGCTCCCTCTATCCTCCTTTTAATTGGACTAATTGAAACTATGATTAGACTAATGAACAATTAAATTAATAAAGTCCTGAGAACTTTATAATACAACTCAAAATAATGCATGTAATAATATTTTATTATGCTTATTTCCCCCCCAGGTAATTGGGGCATTAAAGAGCAGAAATTATGGGATGTGTAAAATTGATAGTTTCAGCATAATGAATGAACTGAAATTTGAGAAACTAATTATTTAATACTCAATCAAAGACTTTAATATGATACTTACTATGTGGTCACTAAACAGCCTGACTTGATTCTGAACAATTTATAAAATGTGCTGTTATTACCACATGTAAGATAAGAAATTCTCATCATCCAGTAATCGTTTGCATTGTAAATTGAAATTGAATTACATTTCCTTTTATCTGAATTTGCAGTTCTCTCTAATACAGCTGTAGTCTTTGAATTTAAGCTCATAATATTAGACTACAATTTTCATTCTTACAGACTTCCTCTTGAGTCTGTTTTTCAGACTAATAAAAGAAACCCCAACTGCCTGTACTTACACCAAAGCAATTAAAACAGCACTGTGTGCTAGATGTTTTTCTTCACTTACTTCCTATAATATCTTAAAATATAGGCAACATAGACTATATATTCTAGTTCATTATACTTTTGGAGCCATGAATCACGGGCAAATTATCTTTATGCCTTCTTCCAAGTGAAGCCAGTTGTTCATCCCTTTCTGCTTCTCCCCCGATAAGCCGTTGGGCACCTCTGTAAATATCAATACTGCTGACAGAATTGGTAGAACTTTCAATTCTGCAGAAAATGGTATTATGCGAATATTTGTGTGTTATTTCTGAGTGTAATGTATACTCTCTTTTTTTTTCATACTATTCTTTTATGCATATTTCAACATGCCTTTCCACAATACAGACTTTTTAACATTGCAGTACCATATCACAAAATTGAGAACAGTGTGAAAACCAGAAGAGAATCACATTCTCATACATTTATTAGTTTAGGAGCTGAAAATTAGGTTGGTTTCTATTAAAATACAAACCAAACATATTTCATTTCCTTTCCAATTGGTGGGTCTACTCCAAACTCTTAACAGTGTAGCATATTTATAGCATATTCAATGTCTGTAAGCATGCTAAAACCACTTTATCTTTTATATTCAGTACAAAATATATCCAGAGGAACCAGGCTGTTATAAGATATATAAAAATAGACTGCTGGATTTGGAAATGAGACCCAGTATTTGTTTAACATTCTGGCTTAGATCACAAGCTTTTTTAAAAGTCTATCTCACAAGATTGCCTTAAGGATAAAATGTCACTTGAAGTGTTGTGGAAGTTATGAATGATGTACATAATGCATAGTAGAGTGAGTGTTTCTATATCCCTATAATGCTATCTGGCATCATGCAAAATGAACAAATAAAAATATTTCTTCTGCTCAAAGTGCCACCATTTTAAATCAGAAATGTTATTTCAGGCTTACTAAACTATCCAATCAATCTCAAAGTTTTTAATAACTCTGTTTTTTGTCTGAGGTTGTAGCTGGTCTGTCAGAGGACTGTAATTTCTCCTTAAAGGTATTGCTCAAAAATTGACTTCTATTTGGTGTGGTGTCTTTTTTTCCAGCTTCAGATATAGCAGCAGAACAAGGGCAGATTCTGGTCATTGCCACAGCTGCTGTGGGTGGATTCACTCTTCTAGTCATTCTCACTCTTTTCTTCCTCATTACTGGAAGGTAATATTGACCCTGCAACTCCCCATGGAACCAAGTACCCATGTGCCATTCTAAACTTTAATTGCTGATTATAATAGATTAAAGTAACATAAAGAACTAATTTCCTCAGTTTTAGATTAAAACTATATTGTATTACTTACATAAAATGATGATAAACAAATTGCACAGAACCTGACCATGTTGCTGAAGTTTCAAAATGTGAGCCAATATCCTCTCCTGACTACACTGTAAACTATGATTACCATTTGATGGTAACAAATCAAAGATCTGTGTAAATGCTGGAAAAATAAAGGCTTTGCAGAAGGAGTAGGTCAGATTTGTATAAAATATTAGGCACTTGTGGCAACCTTGCATGTTTCTTAAATCGAAATCTAGGAAATAATAGCTTCTGTGTTTCTCCAAACTGGTTCTGAAAGGCAGAGGAAGATGATAAATATTTAAGGAATTTTTGCACTCACTGTAAAGAACATTTCCTCAGGAAAAATGATATTAATTTACTAAAAAAATATGGAATACTTATCATCTTATCAAACCTAAGGTTATTTCATTGCTTAAAAAATATCAAGTGCTTCATTTTTAACTTAGCAATTTTACTGTTGGGACATTTAGAAGATATATCAGTTAAACACCTAGTTTTGTTCAATTTCGTTTTTTAAATCTGCCCATCAGCAACCACTTCTTGAAAATGAATATTATCAAATATTGTTGCCTTTTACTTAGATCTAAGAATTTACAGCACGGCAATTGGCCATAATAATATTATTACATAAAGTGTTTTATTCTCTCCTTGATGAATAAAATTGGGAATGGAATTCTCGAAAGGCTTTCCATGATTTTATTACATTTTATTAAGTTTTTGTAGTTTTCACATTCCTGGGATAACATTGTTCCTATGTTCTACTTCTTCAGGAAGTTTCTAAATACAGTTCTCCCTTACACTGAGTTTAAGGTATAACTTTCCTGTGATTCATGTGATATGAAAAATAAACACGATTAACAAGGCTCTTCATTCAAAATGACTGATATCACTATTAATTGTCTAATTGTGACAATTAACTTTCAAATTGTATGCAAATCCTTTTATTAAGGCATTTATTTGGGCCAATGAGTATCTCTCAGCTCAATTCACCTTTCAAGGTTGTTGTAGGGAAGAATAGGAAGAGGAAGGAGTATTAGGTATGTTCACTGCCTTGAATTACATCTAAAAATATTAAAGGCAAGATAAAACAAAATCAAAATAAATAAATGCAATCATAATAGTTATCATGGTAGAAAAAATTGCACAGTAAATAGCATTCTAATATAATGCCTCAGACTTGTTATTACTGTGGTAAGAGAAATAAATATATATGAGATTTTCTTCATATGTATTAGATTTAGTAGGTAATATTAGGAACATGGCAAAAAAATTAGTTTTTCTCCATTCTATATTTTTTCTATGTTTTCTACATTCAATGGAATTGTTCCATTATGAAATATAATGAACTATTTCCTGAAATTTAAATGCTAAGATGAGACAAAATAAGTCAACTCACATAAAATTGTCAAGTTATTATTGGAATTGAAACAAATTTCAAAGTGCATAATTTAGGTTTGACTAAGTGTTTCCTTCTTTGTGCTAAAAGATGTTTGATGCTACTGTACACTGAATCTTATGGTTGCTTATGAATTTATGTAGATTGAAGAAACAGAAGGTCATAAGCATCTGTATCTCTGCTTGATTAAATGATTAGTCCTTAACCAAAAGTTTATAAGGTATTAATATAAAAACATTAGTTGGAGGAGGTGAGAAGCTGATAAATTTCATAGAATGCAATAGTTAATTATGGTGAAAGTAATAGAAAGGTTATTATATTATTAGATTGTGCAGAGTTTGGTGAAATTATGAAATCTTTAGTACTCAAATAAGAACAAGAGTTGACTCTTTTCTATTGCTAGGCTCCCTATATATGTTTAGCCATTGTGGAAATTAGCCTTATATAAATCTTTGGTTTGATCCAACATGACTCTTAAGACTATCCCAAAAGATCATTTGTAGAAAAGTTGAAAGTTGATTTGGAAGCTGTATATAACTGTAGGTAAAAATGTGAAAACTTACCCTCTGTGTAGTTCTGCTAGAGCAAACTAGACTGAAGTTATGAATAGGTTAAGTGGGAACTGAATTTTGTTTCATGAACTTAATGATAAAGCTGCTTTCTTAGACAGATAATTCAAAGTAAGGATTGCAAGTTATATAATATTTGATTAGTTATGTAATATTATTATAAATAATAGATAATTAAGGCTTTGTGGCCTTTATTTATTTGTGAGCCACCTATTGGCCAAAGATCTAAAATTGCCAAATTTAAATCCTGATTTAAGGGCATGATATTTAATTATGGTTGATGACATGGAGCATACCACATTCGATACGTTGTGGTTGCTCAGAGAATGTCTATATTTCGGAATTTGAAAAGGTGTCTCCCCTTTTTGGCAGATGTGCTTTAAAGATTTTTACTTACTGAATAAAAAAAAAACTGATGTTAGATCTTAAGAATATCTACCAGTGGTATTTTGATTACAAAATATTCAATATTATGAACAGATTTTGACTTCGCCACATTGGTGTCTCCAATTATCCAAAATATTGGCTCCTTTGGAAAAAATAAAAATGTACTCAGGTATAACTCAGCCATGACACAATCTTGCCCAGGGATTGAAGACTTCTAATTAGAGAATAAATGTATCCCTTTACAACTGTCCCAAAATGTAACCTAGTTTTCTTGGTCACTAGAGAGCAGGGAAGTGCAACCTTACTACTAAGTTGCAAAGATGAAATTAAATCAGTATATAAATAAACTTCTGGTTTATTTACGGCTATTTTAACTTAAGTGATAAGATGATAAGATATTCCCATGCATGAGAAAATGTGATGTTTTGATTATAATTGTAATTTTAAGCATTTCAAAATCCTGAACCTGCTTTGATACTTAAGCCCTTGATAATGAACAAAAAAAGCTTTCAAAAACATTCAGTCTGATCTCAAGTGCTAGACACCAATTATTTCTTTCTAACTATATGTGGGAAATATCAGTCTAAAAGGAGCTTTTACCTTTGGAAGGAACCTTGTTTGAATATACTTGGAAGACATATGAACAATGTGTGCACCATTAACACTTGTGAAGTTTAATTAACTGATATGTTACTGGAATCCTTTTCATACATTTTAGTATCTATTATATACAATATATTTTAATAAGACATGTTAACTACTACCTTAATTTGATTGTTGGTTTTCTTAGCCCCCCTTCAATTAAATGCAGTACTCTTATGGTTATTATATAAATAGCATATTATAATTCATTTTATAACATTAAGACAAAAGTAAAATAATATTTGTTTTCTTAAAGATGCCAGTGGTATATCAAGGCAAAAATGAAGTCTGAAGAAAAACGAAGAAATAATTTGCAAAATGGAAATTGTAAGCAAACATAACTGAAATTTTAAAAAATATTTAAATCCGTTTTACCACTGTAATTTTAACTTGCATTTATATTGCATATCAAGCTAATAATGCCAATTTACAATATGTCCTAGCTAGAATTATCTTTTACATCTTTGTCCAACTGACTGGAAATTTTTGCAGGAAAAAAGTTACTCATTTCAAAGTCAAGGAAGATTCATTATTCCTACAAAATGTTTTGAAAATTTGAAATGATTAAAACAACCACTGCATCATAAATCTAATGAAGCTTCTAGATCACCCAAGCCAAAATAACCAAATAGCAAACAACTTCTACACATTGTTAGGTGTTTTTTAAAAATTTAGCATTTATTCCATATTATTTTAGGGAAAAATAATTCTGTTCACCTTTGAAGTGTGCAAAATAAATACTTCTCATTAGCATTTAGATGTTTACAAGAATTTCCACCTGATACTTGTTACATGATTTTTTTCCCCCAAACTCTTTGATTTTCCCCTGTTCAAACATTGTAAAAAATGTTTGTTCTTCTTTGGTCATTTCTAACTTTTCTATAGTTTTCTTTCCACAATTCATCAACATTTTAAAACTAACACCAGCATGGTCTGAATTAACAGTTTAGGGTATAAATCAGGGGTGGGTTTCTACCGGTTCGCCCTGGTTTGAGCGAATCAGTAGTGGTGGGGACGGATGCTCTGCCCATCCATCCAGACGTCATAAAAAATGCTCTGCACAGAAGCGCCGCACACTACCAAAGCGAGTGAGTGCCCCCCGTGCGCTACCGGTAGCGAACTGGTAGCACTGGGATTTGAATCCTACTACTGGTATAAGTCTACTTGTACTATATGTAATAATTACACTGATACCTCTCCTAGATACTCTCTCCTAGAGAGTCTAATGAAATAGCATGATTAGGGGCCAAAATAAAAGCTACCCAAATATTTTCTGTAATGAAAGCATAAGCCAGTAGAGCAATTAAAATATTAAAGACAGTGCAGTTTAAGTATACAGATTAATTAAGTATCTGGCCAAGATTCAGAAATCCAAATGAGTCAGTTTAGTTAGAATCCTAAGCAGCTAAGAAAAGGCAGACTTTTATATTAGTACTTTCAAGTCTTCCTCCTAGCTGACTTTCATTAATTTTGTTTAACATGTAGGGATAATCCATACTTTCATGAAATGTTTCCCTTAAATTTTCACTTCAGTAATTTTTTGCATTTAATTCTGTGCCTCATCGTGCTCCTCTCCAGAAGTTGTGCTACAAAATATGGACTGAAATCTGAAAAAAGTAAGGCTTTTAAAACCCTAGGCTTAAGGGGATTCAGTAGCCACCAAGTCATTATACTGAAGCCAACCAGTTGAACAGTAAGGTGGAATCAGTGGTGGGATTCAGCCAGTTCGCACCACTTCGGGAGAACCAGTTGTTAACTTCATGAGCAGTTTGGTGAACTGGTTGTTGGAAGAAATCATTAGGGAAGAGAACCGGCTGTTAAATTATTTGAATCCCACCACTGGGTGGAATACAATAGAAACAGAAATTTATCAAGTAAAGAAGAATAATGTTACATTATTAAAAGAGTAAGGAGAATAAATACAGTGTTAATATTCATGTGTAGAAACAAAACGATTGAAATATTTAAAAAGTCCTGACAATCAAGTGACTATTAAGGAGCCATTTGCTCTGAAGTTGGACAGAGGAACAGACTGATTATTTACCTATCATTCATCGTCGTTTCCCAACATCTCCCATTTGTTTATTCTTTTGAAAATATATTGGCCATGGTCAATGCACTGATGAAATATGTTCCCCTGAGAAAAAAGATAGCCTGACAGAATATATGATTAAAGAGTTCAGTATAAAAATGAAAGGCAATAGCATATGTTTAAATATCAGTTATCCTGTGACAATCATGAAAGCTAGACAGATCTAAAAACATCATTTTTTTATTTGCAGTGCTTTAAAATATACTTGTTAAAGGAGAAGAATGCAGAATAAATAATCATGTACCGTACACCATAAAGGGAATAATTCCTTATTTCAATAGAAGAAAATATTTGTAGCTCAGGGTGAAACTATAGCAAGGGTGTCAAACTAGCAGCCCGCAGACCGGATGCATCACACACTGGCTACACCCACACCCAGTTTAGCAAAGGGAGAAAAAATTATGGTATCTCATGTGACGACAATGTGTCGTCACGAGTTTGACACCCCTGAACTATAGAGTCTTTAGTGCTCTCTGAGCTTGGTGGTTTTCTTGCAGATGTTTCTTGCAGACAACAGCCTAATTAAGGATCCATGAAGACTATTCACACCAACACTGACAGGGCAAGCCACTTACACAAAAAATGAGAGCAAACCCAACTCCCTTCTAGCACTGATGATGTTACCAAGTTTGGTAATGACATACCTACAAGAAAACAACCAACCTCAAAGAGTACCAATGACCTCACAATTCCTTGTTTTTCTGAGGCAGCAGGAAAAGTGCTGTTACTTAGTAATCTAGATTGCAAAATTAGAATGACAATTGATCATGTAGCCAACTGCCTTCTTTATTCTTCTTCATCAGCTAGGGCTAGACCACACAATAGCTTGGAAACTTTCTTCCATGAATATATCTTAAAGGAAATAAAAATGTACACATTTATCCTTGAATGCCATATTATTTAGGTTGGAGAAACCCATGCTGCCATCTAATCATCTTCATCTTATCCCACCTTTATTAAAGGGGGGAATGAAGCTAATTTTCTCTCTTTCTTGGCCCAATTATAATTGTATCCATTTGCATATTTGCTAATATGTAAAGTGTCTATTACCTTTCTCCATATGCAGCCTTTTCACAAATTGTTTGGGATGAATGTTAATTAAACAATCATGAATAACAAGAATAACAAGGCAGCTTAGAACAATAATAAGTATTAAATTTCATTATGGGTCTTAATGATCTCATTTATTTTATTTTAATTTAAATGTTGCAATCATTTGTATATAATGCAGAAACTACCTTTCTGATTTTACAGTACGATTCCCAGGAACCAAAACATATATTGATCCAGATACTTACGAAGATCCATCCCTTGCTGTTCATGAGTTTGCAAAGGAAATAGAGCCAACAAGGATTCGTATTGAGAGAGTTATTGGAGCAGGTAAAAATTAATCAAATTTTCCCATGATTAATAAGTGCACTTTTATAATAATCTAGTGACAATATTACTATAAAAAGTGTATGAATGGCTTATGATGAATGTAGTTTTCTAATAACATCAAATATTCTAGAAGATAAATCTTTTTATATATGTAGATAATACATCGATTTTAACTGAGTCTCAGTTGAACATAAATAATTCCAGCCCTACTGTCAAAGCTGTCTAAACTTAAATAACTTCTATTATGAGTTATAGAACATAAATGGGTAATTTCTAGCCCTCTAAATGTTGCTTAATTCCAATTTACATTGCTAGATACTTGACTAGCAAAGAGACATTGCCACCCTACTCTAAAGAAATATTATTTCAAACACTAGTCATATTACATGTAATGCTCAACTTTCAACCACAACTGGGACTGGAATTTCTGTCATAAATTGATACAGTCATAAAGGGTGATGGAACCCAATTTTATGACCACTTTTATCAGATTGTTAAGCAAATCATTAGGTGGCTGTTATCATCAAGCAAATTTGGCTTCACCAGTTGACTTTGTTTGTCAGAAGCCAAGTCATAAATCAGGATTGTGTGACCATAAGATGCTGCAACTATCATAAATAGTTGCCAAATCCCAAATTACAATCACATGATCATGGAGATGGCAGGATAGTCATAACTTTGAGAAAAGTCATAAGTAACTTGTTTCAAGGCTGCCATAACTTCAAACCATTGTTAAACCAATGCCAGACTACCTGTATTTGTGGAATAGTATGCGGAATAGCCTAATGAATCCTATTTGACTATCTGAGAGAATTTGTGTGTGTGTGAACAAAGCGTAATAATTTCACCAACCCAAGTTTTTTAATATTTGAACAAATATTTTATATTTCATAGATTATTTAAACATTTTAAATTTATATAAAGACAATTTGTATTAAGCTTCTTGACATTATTTTAAATAATGGTTTATTTGGTTTCTCTACAAAAACACTACCTATACAACTGTATAAAGATAATCTGAAAGAGAAGGGCAGTTTAGAAATATAGCTATATGATGGATGGATGGATGGATGGTTGGATGGATGGATGGATGGATGGATGGATGGATGGATGGTTGGATGGATGGATCAATGGATAGATAGATAGATAGATAGATAGATAGATAGATAGATAGATAGATAGATAGATAGATAGATAGATAGATAGATAGATAGATAGATAGATAATCTATATTCAGAAGTAACCCACAGTGAGTTTCATAAGATTTTTTTCTCTTAAAAAAGTGTATGAAGTGTTATTGTCTGTTATAATTAGAACAAACCTGTTTCCACCCACACAATTGAATTAGAATTTAATTCCTTAACACATAGATTATAGTCTGAAAAATACGGTAAATTCTTTTGCTAGAATATTTTCATATATTTATTCAAAATATTTAAAATATTAGAAGATAGTAAATGGTTATAATTATATATATTGCTGTTAGGTGAATTTGGAGAAGTGTGCAGTGGTCGCCTAAAAACACCTGGAAAAAGAGAGGTTCCTGTAGCCATAAAAACTTTGAAAGGTGGACATGTGGAAAGGCAGAGACGGGATTTCCTACGAGAAGCTAGTATCATGGGACAGTTCGATCATCCAAATATTATTCGCCTTGAAGGAGTTGTCACAAAGAGTAAGTTCTTTAAGATATACTGTATTATCTATTGCTTGCTTTCTTTCCTTTATCCACCCCAGGTCCTTACCTAAAGGTGCTTGATCTACACATATAGGTAAGAAGTATTGTATCTAAAATTGCATGTGTATGTATTCTTTAATGTAAGCCTAGTTATGGCATTGAAACCATATGTGCAATATTAAATATTTGTATTCAAATATGTACTTTCAGTTCTATCCACAGTTTTTTAGCTTTAAATGATTAACTTACCATATTCAAAATCAGCATTTATCAGTTTGGATAAAGTGAGTAACCAATGTACATTTATACCATCTATCATCAAATGCCATCTCAACTGTTTCAATACATAGTGAATGAAGCAAAAATGTTATTTCAATTATACTGGAGATATAACAATAATTTGAGACATAATAATTTGAATATTCGTATTTGGAAACTGTTCTGAATTTTTGAAGAATTGTGAATTTCTTCAATGAAGAATGAAACCAAAATTTAACGAATCCACATTTTCTCAGGTGGGATAACCTGTCTCTCTGTCTTCTCTATTATATCTTTTTATCTTTCCTATACCCTTAGATTGCCATGTTTCTAGCAAGATATTTGTTTTTTAAAATAGGTTAAAGAAGTTAGGTTGAACAATCAGTTATATTTTTATATATTAGTTATGATTCAAATAAGACTGTGAATGAATTCATAAATTAAAAATTACATATCTGCCATTGCAATATTCTTAAATAAAAGAATAAGAATAAAAATATTACCTGGTCAAAACAATGGAAAATGTTTGCCTATACCCCTATCTACTTTTTTTTTTTTTTTTTTTGCTTCTTTCCTAATATTATTAGGGGGGGGAAAGCAGTTTATTCCACATGATACATTTAATTTATCTGAAAAAAGCATATTTATTTTTAAGCTTTATATTAAGACTACCTATCATCACCTCATCAGATTTGATGACTTGTAATGCTTCCTTATGTTAGTTACTATTTTAAAATTGGCTTGAGCATTCTGAAAATTTATGTGCTGACAAGATGAGAAATGTGCTGATATTACTGCAGTGATTAAGTCTTTTTTTAACTTTTAATTTTATTTCTTGATTATATAAAAGTCAAAATAAGAACAAAAACAAAATAGAACCAAACTTAATGAGTAGTAACAAGTTACTGAGCATTTCTGCAGTACCAATTTAAAGCATCAAGCAGCTAAATTATTGTTGTAGCAATATATCTTCACTGAAGCAGGATATGTATTGCTTCAGCAATGGCTGGGTGATGCTGTAAATCCTTAGAGTACAATTGCTCCATAATTAACTATCCTAAATTACATTCTCATACTGATCATAAAGGTTGTTGGCATTGGGTTTATTTTCTTAAATTTTCTTTTCCAACTTATAAGGTAATAAAACTGACAATCAAGTAGCATTACTCAAAGGAATGTTGTCAACTGATCAGTTTTAAAAGAATAAATAATCTGGGTAGTAATTATTTTGACAATAAATCACTCTGATATGTGTCTAAGGCACTTCAAGAGATGCCTACAGCAGATCTTTCTACACCCTTGAAACACTCATTACATACAGCAAAAGTTTCTTTCCAATGAACAATTTTGGATGGCAACCTACAAGGACTATATATTATTTCTTGATCTTCTGTTCTTAATTCTTTCCTGCGATTGCAGAAAATTAGGATGCAATTATGGAATAGGGTGCCTGAACTAAGATCTATGTCTTTTAGTAATCGTATAATTCCAGTAGTGGTTTTAGGTAATTATTTAGTTGGGCTCATTCTGAACAAATAACATATGACATCCTTAACTTGCTCTTTGTTGTAATACAAGAGAGCTTTGAGTAGACTTTAAGACCATGTGCTTAAATTCAGTGCTTAAATTTAGAATCTCAAGAGAAGAATAGCAAAGAGCTATTATGAAAAACTCTGCTTACATATTTACATATTATAAATAGAAAGCAGCTATCAGTATGAATAAGGCTGAGCCCAAGGCAGAATCAGTATAGATTCTAGAAACTTAACAGTTCCCTTCAGGCTGCTTTTCCCCAGCTTCTACTTCTGTCTCAGGAGAATCATATCCTCCCTTAGGACTCTCTCTGGAGCAAAAGGTTTGTGTCTTTTTCGTTTTAAAATATCTTATAGCAATGTGTCTACCATTCCAAACAAGTTTGAAGGTCCATAATATTAATAAAATTTCCATCTAATCCATTTCAATCACTTCCATTCATAGATGGAAAGTACTAAAAATAGTCAGCTCATTGTTTTTTTCAAACATTTACCCATGGTTAAAAGAATATTTTTTAAATTATGCAGATCATAATAACATGTTTAGAATTGATATTCTAACACAATTTTATTCTTATATACTTCTAAGAACCTAATTTCCATGTAACTATATTTAGGACTGACTTGATTAGAGTCAACATGATTAGAGATAAACCAATTTGTGTTTAAGATGTACCAGAAGCAGGGAGCATTTTATTGGTGAACATCATTTGTATATTGTTCATTGTTATGCCATTCTTTGCACAATCTCCATTATAAATATAAAAGGGCTGGAAAGTTTAGCCTTTAGGTAAGTCAGCTAGAATATTGATTGGTGATACTTGATTTTTAGTTATCAGAATTAGTTTAAAAAGCAGATTTATTTCTGTTTTTCATGTTTAAATAGTACATAAATATACCAAACCCTAATACAAATATGTTAACATTAAAATACATATTACATGTACAAATGCAAAGGGAAAAGAGAAAATGAGAATTTCATAGACATGTTTTGCAGTATTGTTACTAAATAACATGTTTTCAAGTAAATTATATTTTCTACTTATTTTTCTAGTCTATTGTAATATTAAGATACAGAACTATGAAGACTTTAAATATTTTATATTTTAAAAATCTAAACATTTCTAGAACATAATTTATTTCTTAATTGTTATAAAAAGAAATGTTTCAGTCTATAATTACAGCATAGAGAATATTCTTGCATTTGCTTATTATCTTAGTGAATATTTTTTCAGCTTGATTATGTCTCATAAACTTTAATGAAAAAACTTTTAATAAGGCTTATTTTTTATTTTGTGCTTATATGTGTGTATGTCTCTAATGATATTTTGTTATATTTATTTATTTTATTTATTTTATTGAATTTCTATACCGCCCTACTCCCGAAGGACTCAGGGCGGTGCACAGCCATGAAATAAAACACATACATATACAAAATTTAAAATCGAATAAAATGAATTAAATAAATTTGGCTGAATTAATACCCATAATTTAAAATACCCATATTTTAAAATACATTAAAAATTTAAAATTTACACTTAAAAGGGAGAAGATTTAGGCGAGGCCAGCTTGATGAAATAAAAGCGTCTTCAGCTCGCGGCGGAAGGTGTGCAGATCCGGAATCCTCCGTATCTCTGGGGGGAGCTCATTCCAGATCGTCGGTGCCCCCACAGAGAAGGCTCTCCCCCTAGGGGCCGACAGCCGACATTGTTTGGCCGACGGCACCTGGAGGAGCCCCTCTCTGTGGGAGCGTACTGGTCGGTGGGAGGCTGTTGATGGTAGTAGGCGGTCCCGTAAGTAACCAGGTCCTAAGCCATGGAGCGCTTTAAAGGTGGTAACCAGAACCTTGAAGCGCACCCGGAAGACCACCGGGAGCCAGTGCAGCTCGCGCAGGAGAGGTGTTACATGGGAGCTCCATGTTATAGTATTAATAGGGAAATTAAAAATATAAATTGTATGCCCTTTCTAGAATTATAGTTTTCATTTATGTTAAGAAATATATTCTGTTATGTAACTCAAAAAATACTATGCAGAATTTTAAATATTAAATGAAAAATTAGTTAATTTTTAATATGTTAATTAAAAAAAACTAGTGCCTGCCAAATAGGAAGTTTGATTTGGGAATCACTTGAAATATAAAAGTTCAAATTGGCTTTATGAAAATACTATGGACTGAAGAAATACTGAGTTGAGATATAATTATGGGGCAATTATCAGATAGAATCTGATACTGAACCCTAACACATACACATTATAAGTGGTTAATGAATCACTGTCTGACAATGAAAAGCTTAGCTAATCTACAGTATGGACGCAGATATTTTCCCCTCTGTTAGCCATTAGTTATTAAGTTGCATCACTTGCTTATATATACTGCTTCAGTTAGTAAGAAAAGTGATCCATCACAATGTTTTAATCTATTGGCCTTAAAAACAAAGCCCAAGTTAATTGAGTGCAATAGATTTTAGAATTCTGCCCACTAATTAATTACTGCTCAATAAGACAAAAAGTGGTTTTTGGTGAAATTACTTTGGATTTTTAAAAAAAAATAATATTAAGAAAGGACATACGCAGACTATGGTACAAGGTGTTGAAATAACATTTTGGTGCTACATTGAATGGGGAGAAGATATTTTGTCCTTTAGCTTAAAAACTGATAATGTCATCCAATATTATGTAGCAGACTTGCCAAGGATGGAAGAGGCTATGGAGGTTGAGGACAAAAGAACTGAAAGAATGGCCCATTTCACTTCTGTTATAATAAATGTTCTTCAATTGACATACCATACACAGATTTACAGTGTGTAGAGACAGAATGCATTTCAACCATTCTGTCTCACTGCAGAATTCAAACACAGTTCTTCTTGTCTAGCTTTTTTAATAATAGTGAAGCAGTAGATGCTGAACTATTTTCATTTATTTGAAGTGAGAGAACTTTCTATAGAATAAATTCTTCCGGGAATTCAGTTTTATATTTAAATGTACATTTAATGCATTTTGAGATCACTTTGATCGTAGCTTTGCACAAAATATGCGTCTGAAATTCACACCACTATTAGTAGGACACTGCAGAGTGTCTATAATTCAGACAGAGACAAACTGAGATGCTTCGCATTTGATCATAGCCTCAGACAAAACTTGAAATATTTAGAAGAGGCTACTCCACCTATTCAAAGTGCTAACTGAAGCTTCAGAGGAAACCCTGAA